ATGTTAAATGTTACCAAAACGCATCAGTATTTTTCAAATAAATTTATAAAGAGGACATTGAGATTTATAGAAAGAATCTGTATACCAATCTGTATACCTGAATACTGTACCAAAAATAATAGACATTATGTTCATGCTCAACAAAGGCTTTATTTTATGCCAGGACCTATTACATTTACTATCAATAAATGATGAGTTTTACAAAAACTGTTTTCAAAGTTTTGCTTGAGTTTTTGTGCATTGCATGTATGGAGTCCGTGTGTTCCTCACAGGAAAACTATTTGAAAATAGTTAAGACATTCCTTAAAAACAACATTTTAAATCTAATTTTGTATATTGTAAAGGACAGCTCACATTTTACACGGCGAATAGTCTTCTCATAAATGTAGCTCTAAACCTGGCAGGTATTAAGGTATGGCTTGTGAACAGATTTTAGTTCTGAATTAGGTTTATATGATGTTTTCATTATGTTAGGATATTTTAAACAACTGCAGTTTGAACAGAAATAAAAGTGATATTGTTTTATAAAAAGTTGAAATATATTATATAGAACATAATATCAAGCACTTTTTGGATTTCAGGAGCCTTTGCTTTTAGAGCCTTTGTACTGTAGTTTACTCAATGTGCTCTCATAGCAAAAAAATTGTTCTGATATTCAAACTTAAATCATGGGAAATTATTAATCCAATGCAAAGATTCTGAAATTATTTTCAAAAAGATACAGGCCATCCTCTGTCATTTTGCAATACATTGTTACAAATGTCTTTTCCTCCTCACCTTGCATGGGCAGGCCTGATCACATGGAAGGATGACAGCCGAACCCTCCTGTGGAAAATGGTACATTGATTGATATCAGGGTCCCGTGAATCACAGCCACATCCCAGCAAGCAGTGAGAAAGATGCTTCTGGGCAGAAACATAGTCAGCTGCTTTCAGAAAAGTTCCAGCTTAGTAATGCCTGTTTGGAAGGTACTAGGCAAATGAGTTAGCAATCTCACTCAGCCTTTTCTTTAAAGGAGCCGGGGTTTCAGAGTTCACGTCTGTGTGAAAACGTAACAAGAATGTAAGAAAATAAAGGCATGTGAACAAAGCACCTTGAATAAGGGTAAGACAGCAGTCCTCCACCCAGATGTCAACCCACAAGTTACGAGTCCAAAGCCTGAACCACTACTCCACGCTGGGCCAATTCGCCACTATTAACACATGGTAATAAATATTTACTACAAACAACGGGAACGTGCTATTGCTTGTCAATTTTATATCACACACCTCTCACTGCACCATATTGTCTAAAATTTACTGTACACTTACTGTAACAGTGCTATGGTAAAGTCTTAGATTTGCACTACAATAGCATTGATTTACCTTACTGGCTTAAATATTTATTTTTGATATTACTGTATATTTGTCAACATGGGAAAGGTCAATATAAACCTTTTACCACATTTGTGGTTCAGGAATTATCTTATGAAATTAGTACTTAGTGGTTTTGTAGTCAAACACAGCTACCTTTCCTTCAGACAGCTGATAATGAGGCACAAGCGCCTCCAAGTTCAATCTGAATTGCAGGTTATGTAAACACCAATGTTCACAGACGCTAATTAATTACCAATTCCAGTCACTCCAGTAGTGTATGATTGTAAAAGTGGTTATATAATGGAAATAGTGCCCTATAAAGTCTTTTTTTATATGAAAGAGGAACGGGGGTTTCCCAAGTGCCCCACCTGATAAAGGTGCTGGTTTGAGTTTCATCATCCTGGGCCTGAGCCTGGGTCGGGTCACCGGCGGACCGGTCCAGGTGTCCCAGGTCTGAGCCTGGGTCGGGTCATCAACAGTGAAGAGCCGGCTGGGTGATGCCCAGGGGAGGGGGAGATTCGTTGGCCCAGAGCTCTCTCGACTCTCAGCACCTGCAGGAACATGAGGCTGTCGGTGAGGGCCGCCGCTGTCCTCCACACCTCCAGTACAGGGCTGTGGCGCTTACAAGGTAAGGTGGGAGTGAGTGACTGTTTACACCTCGTCATTGTGCCCTCTTTGTGGTCACCAGTATCGTAGCAAATGTAATTGGCAATTTGAAGTGTATAAAATAGCTGAACATTACTTTACAAAGTATTATACCGGCATGCTATAATGTCACTGAGTGTCAGGCAACCCATCAGAAAGTGCCATAGCCACTCAAGGCCAGTGTAAGTATAGGCAATGATATCAGAGTTTTAAATAGATGGTAAACACCATGGCTCTTGGGAAGGCAATGTCACATGACAAGAGCATAGAAATCAAAGCTGCAGTTAATGATGTCCTGCTCTTGTTGACAGATCGCAACAAAGCCCATGTAAGACTTTGAGGGGACTTGTGGATTTGACATTCCTGGGAAAAGATGTTGTCACAGAAGAAAAGTGAAAAAAATGATGTAAAGTTCCCCTGAATAAAATCCCTGTGTACTGATAGACCAGTAGAGATTCTGCTCCCAGTATAGGGGTTAATGTTTCTACAAGACCAGTAAGATACACATTAGCACAACATGGTCTCCATGGGCATGTAGTTGCTTGGAAACACTTGTTTAGGAAAAGGAACAAAACAAGAAGGATGAAGCAAAGGTTGAATGCAGCTGCATGTAATTTTCAAGTGTGGATTTTGTTACTTTGATACCTCAGCCCTACTTGCACACACCAAGTGTTAATCATAACAACTAAGCATGACAACTACTTGAACCAGTAAAGGTGAAACAAGGACATGTCCACCCCTTCCTCCAACAAATAACCAGTCTGCTCATCCAAAATAATATTCAACACATAATCCTGAGTCCATCGACAGTGTATGTCCAGTTTGCCAACAATGCTGGCTAAATTGCTGTTGCTCACGGTTATCTGGTCATCAAATGAGAGGAGACGTTTCACAGCTTTCAAGATTGCAATGCTCTGAAAGTGAGCAGCCTAGCTAAATGACCTTCTCAGTACTTAGGCTGATCGCAAAGGAGAGCGTTAAAAGCTGGGCAATGAATTGGTCGAGAGCCAACAGAAAGCGAAGTAACAGCCTCATAGGAACCTAACCAAACTGTTTCACAGTGTGAACACGGAACAAAATGATCCACACAAACGGTCTTCATCTGCTCAGTAGCTTATTCAGCTGTCCTATAGCGAGCGGCCTTTTGGCTTGTCTGGTCACTCTGAGGCTGGTTTTCCACATCTAGCAGTTCAAGGGCTCTGATCTTTGGTTTGTTCACATACTCTCTCTGGAGCCTCTCCCGCAGTGCTCCCTGCTGTGCTGTGCTCTGTCTCTCCCTGGCTTCCTCACACACACATCTGCTGCGAGGGAACACAGGTTTAATAGGGAGGAGCCCGGGTATCAGGTATCATGATTGTGAGGACTGAAAGCTGGCTCCTCTCAGGCCTGTGAGTAGACTGCCTGGCTCAGAGAGCTGTACTGTAGCGGCCTGTTGATGTCAAGAGCTGCAGTCTTTACCTCCAATAGTGTCTCATTCATGAATGAAAACCTGAAAAGAGACTATTTCAAGTTAGGGAAAGGAGCTGTGGGTAAATTTTTAATTGTGGTAGACATTTATGCACCAGGAACACTTTGTCACTCTTGCTGATATTTGGGTGCATTTTTTGTATGAAGACCAAAGGATATGTCATTTAAGCAAACAGTTTTACAACTACTTTTCCAAGGTAAAGATGTCCTGAGTTGGTCAGTTATAGTAATAATACATTACAGCTTTGGCTACTGTGTTCTGGGCTCTGGAAGTTATTCCTACAGTTTACCATAGTTCATAATATTATATTGTGTGCTTTGAATCATGTTTAAAAAACCCTGTCTTTTAAGGTTTGTCTATTTTTCACTCATCACATTATTCTCAGAAAAGCAAACAAATCATATTACCTCGCTCTGGATTCCCTGACAGGTGGGGAGTGTTTTATTTAACCTCTATGAATCGCTTGTTTTCAATCTGGTGTCATTTGTTTCTACACTACTCAATCGGAAGAGCTGCAAGCTTTACAGAAAAGGCTACCCAATATCGCAAGGTCACAGCGACCTGACAGCAGCAAGCTGAAGGAGCTCAGGCAGTTGTGTGACCTTGCTTGATGATCTCCATTACGTTTAACTAAAGACATAACCCAACAGACCTGCTGATGTGTGGACTACAGGACTCAACCTCTACTTCACCATTTTCACTAATGGAGCCTTTAAGGAATCCCTTGCAGTTGTACTTCTGAAAATGATAGCTTTCACTACAGTAGAGGTGGCCAAGCTTACTCCAGATACACACAGTACAACAGGTCTTCATAGATCACACATTAAGGAGGAATCTCTAAACACTCTGACCACGTAAGTGATTTCTTCAATAAATTCTTTAGAGGGTGCTTGAAATTAACATACATATTGAATCATTTAACTTACTAAATTGATCAAAACTCACACCTTCCAAGTATTAAAAATGGATTTTAATGGTAAACAGATCTTAAATGGTAAGACTTGATGGACTGGGCACCTCCATGATTAGAAACACCTTAAATATAGTTTCTGGAAACACTATAGTTTAAACCAGAAAAAAATTAGGAACAATAGGTTTATTCCATGCTGAAAAGAGAAGAGAGAAAAACACGTTTTGGCTGTGAAGCCCTGAAGAAAGCTTCACAGCCGAAACATTGTTTTTTTCTGTTTTCAGCATGAAATTAACCTATAACTTGTTCCTTTGCAGACTACGCATCTTGAAGCAGCTATCCACCTGAAAAAAAATATTTAGCACACCACAGTATCTAGATTGTGGAACAAAGTTATTGCAAACATTTCCAAAGCATTTTTTTCCTTTTATCAGACTAAAAGTTAATGCATAACACCACAAAGTGAAAGTAATTTTTATGACTTGTTTCTGAAAGAAAAACAAAGCAACCTTTTCACAATTTCTTCATGTGCAGTAGCCATTTATTGAAGATCTAGCCACTGCTGTTGTATAACATGTACTGCATGCTTTGTTTCTGTGCTGTCTCAGTCACTATGTTGAAGTGATTTCCAACACCTTTATTGTGAACAGGGGAAAAGCTGAACTGTTAACTTAATCACACATGAGCACAATTAGAAAAAAAATCCTAATAGCAAGACCTTTTTATATAATGCAAATACGCTTCACACAAAAACATAGAAATGTCTACAAATAACATCATTTCAATTTTATAAAACAGTACATACAAGTGTCAACACTCTGTCGAGTCAGAAATAAAAGGATTCTTTTATTTGCTGACGTAATAAAAAAAGGTTTGTGGAAGGGCCGTAGTATACATACACGCGAAACAGCTCCTCTTGGCGTCTTGTATTGTTTCATCAAAAGTGTCATCGGCATGGATACCGAAAAATTAGAATACAATGAGATTTACATCCTTCTCAGCAATGCATTGGTGGCTACTGATTTCTTTCAGTTGTCCACGATTTAAACTACCAAGTTCTTGAAGTATGATGATACCTTTACGTGAGGCGTGGAGTGGAGGAGTTCTTTAGCTTGGCAACGTGGAGAAGACAGAAAGACGGCCCTTTCAGAATACCACTGAGAACTGGAGACCTAATGCAGCTTTCGAGAAGAAGCAGAACTGCACACAGGAAGCAAAAAACGCAAGGTCTGACTGGAACATGGAAGAAGCAGAAGAATTGGCTAAGAATTTGAAGCAAAAGTATTGTATGAGGGTAAAAAGGTAAAAAAAAAAGTATAAATACATAGTGAAACTGTACAAGTCTAATTGCATTTACGTGCACTACAGTGCAAGCATTTTCATCCTGCTGATGTCTCCTTTATTCATCAGAAAATTAAAAGCCAAACATCCTCTGTATCACAACACAGGAGACATTACACAATTTCTTTTATATATAATTGAGTTACCAAAAAGAACATTGGCATTCCCAGAATGACTGCACCGTAAAAAAATGATCCATTTATTTTAGCTGTGACTTTAAAACCCAGAAAAGCTTTTCTTTTTTCCCCTGCAACAACAGGGGTGTAAATGAGCATGTTAAATTAAGAGAATTTATTTCCTGAGCAAAGTGAACAGGCATGAGGATTTTAAACAAAGGCAAAGGTTTACTGAGGAGTATACTGTTCATATCAAGCAAAGACACACAATTACTCTTACCAAAAAGTAGGGAATTATACACACTATATTATGGGCTTAAGGATACTTTAGGATTCTGTTTCCTCTTACTTGAATGTTTAATATCTTCCCAGGGACCTCTCATTGTAATATATTCAAAAATAAAAATAAAACCTTGTGCACTATCATTGTTACATGTCTCTAACATGGCTGTGATTAGTTCTGAAAGACTTCATACTGGCTTCCTACCCTTTTGGTTCAGTTTTTAAAACAAGTAAAAGATGTAGGCATAAAGGAATAAATATTTCATCCCCCAATCCATTAGCTGAAATTGCCAAAAAACGCAACTAAGAAAACTCATCATCTTTACATAGTAAACAAAATGCAATGATATATTTTACATATTTGTTTGACCCCTGCAAATGCTTTATTTTTTCAGACTTGACAAAATCTTGTGCCAGGAGCATAGCCTTCTTTTTCGGGAATGCCACTCTCGTCATTGTTCCCATCACTCCATTTCAGAAGATGGCGAGAAGGGAGGAAGTGACCTCAAGCCACACAGAGGAAGACGTCACTGTTCCAAGGTCACGACCTCCACTGCTTGTCCGTCCAGAGTCACACTGTTATCTATCCTGGTGGTGACGGGCGCCATGGCAACCTGCACGGGCCTGTTACCCTGCGCGAGGCTGGTGACCACTGTCTGGTACATACTGACGGGTATCTGGACCAGGCCTGAGACAGGGGAGAAAGGAAGAGTGTTTACCATGAGGTAGTGCAGGACGTCGCAAGATACAAGTATGTTATGATCCTGCAGATTTACACAGTTTCATTTTTAATGAATGCTACAGTATGTAGGTAGAAAGGTCATTACGACTTAGCAGGCCATCTTATTTGCGTCTTCGCATGCAGATTGATTTTGATTCTTAAGATCTCTCAGAAAACATAAAATGACACAGCGAATGCCAGTCTTTTTTTTTTTAGATTTCGTCTTTGAAAAAAGGAGCCTGCCGAAGAGGATATTCTTGACAAGTTGCAGATGTTCGCTCCCACTTGCCTGTCCTATATACTGAACACCACTGCTATCACTGCAGGTCTCGCTGTGAAATCTCACAACAACAATGCTTTAGATTTTACTATTGTAATGTTCTACACTTAACATTGAACTGTAAAGGTGTCATCACATATCACGTTTAAAATAGAGTGCCTTGCAGAAATAAAAGCATTGTTTAGGAGTGAGGAGGTGCTTTAGTGAAGTTGCCAGTGGTGCTTTTCAACAGGTGTGCCTTGAAACCCTCTTGAAGCTCTCTGCAAAAAGCCCAGCATAATTCAGAGCACCTTCCTCTTACACAATTAGGAACATGGAGTCAGTTTGGCCTTTTTATTGTTGCAATCACACCAGCTGAAGAGAATATACAGACACCTACCTTTGGCTAAAGTCTATTTTTATTGTTGGAAAAAAATATTGAATAATTTATTTAAAACATTTACCAAACATACACAAAAGAAGAACCTACACAAGGAGTGGCAGTTCACACAGAAACAAAGGAAAAGGAAGGCTTCGTAAATGGTTTTTGAGATGAGAAAGGTATCTGACCATGCCAATCTTAGATTTAGTACTGGCCAAATGTAAGAAGTTGTCATTCCTGTCATGAGAACAGTTTCTGCAAATTAATTTCAACCTAAAGGAATCAAAAGGCGTGTCAGTTTCCCCTCAGACTTGTTGTCCAACCTGAAGACTGATAGTAATTGTAGAGTACTCAATGGGAAGGAATAGGGCCCGCAGCTCACCTCTAAACATCAAAAAGGCTTTTTTCTACAGCAGAGGTGCAGTATATGTAGCTAAAAGTCTAAAAGAGTATCAAGGGAAACTTCAATGTCTGCATGTTAACTCTTCAAGATTAGAAGACAACTAAAATACTGGCTGATGTAACAGTCTTGCGATCCCTGGTCACATCAAAAGCATACCATGTTCTCTAGCAAAATCATCCAGGGCTCAGGAAAAGCTGAAGTACGTGAAACATGAAGAAGACGATACACAGTAGAACGCCGTCAGACTGGTTGGGCTGGCTTTGACTGTTCTAACTAGGCACCGGGTTTGGTGGAGCAGACACTCAACTGGAAGCCCTAGAGGCAGCTTCTTGGGGAATGTCCTCTGGTGTGCATGGTAAGCGTGGAGCAAGCACATCATTGCTGGCAGGCTGTGGCGGCGCCTGCAGTGTGGAACAATGGGGAGACTGAGACGCCGCGGAGCCCTCCCAGCTGTGGATTACTGCAGTCACATGAGCGGGGTCACAGCCATGCAAGCTGTTCAAGGCAGGGGGGAGGCCAGGGCAAGATTTCGGCACGTGGGGAAACTTCTGCAGTGGACCAGGGCAGGACGCTACACAGAAGGGAGCAGTGGTGGTAAAATGGGCCAATATATGGAAATATTTAGGAGTGTGTACACAAAATTAAGAAAAGTCACGCTTTCTTTTAAAATATAAACAAGCTAATGAAGGCGTTAGCTTTTACGTGCCTCCGTGAATTCATACTCGTTGAAACTCAGCAATTCAGTATGTACATTTTTTGTTATATATGAGCTCCCTGAAATAGAAGTCATGTCTAATTGTGCTGCATAGTGAGAAACTGACTTTAATGTTTACCGGTTAGACAAGGTGGTAAAGGATCCAAAAAGTAAACCAATTAACTCTAACGTAAGCAATATTTTCAGCCACTAGCAATTGAAAAAGAAAAAGGTGCATTAAGAGTCATGAATTTAAAAATCACCCTGCTGTAAAAGAATAATGCAAAAACTTCATCACTCTTTTACCCAAGGAAGAAACGGGTGCAAGGAAGGATACACCCTGGACAGGACACCACTCCATCATAGGTCAGAGAAAAAAACAGACATGCACACACTTTCACCAGGGCTAGTTATCTTAGAAGCCACTTAGAACCTACCAATATGTCTTTGGACTGTGAAGCTGAGGAGGACATACAAACTCCACAGAGATAACACCCCAGGTCAGGAACTGAACCCGGAGCCCTAGAGCCCTAGAGCCGCAAGGCAGCAAAGCTGACCACTGTGCATCTGTGCTGCCCCAACAGGTTTCTTTTAAAGCTTAAACTTGTTTTTTAATTTACAAACAACCCCCAATCTTTCCACTGAAAAGATGCGTTGTCTGTCGATGTGCTCCTCAAGATTAATTTGAATATTAATTATGGAAGCGTGGTGACTGAAGTGCTAGTAATTCAGGTATGTTCTCAGCTTACTGCCCCCAAGGCTCAAATCCTTCCTTGGAAAGCAGCCACTGCTAATCACCAGGACAGTGTACTGTAATCAAAGCTGCTCTCAGAGGCACTGGCTCTATCTGCATACACAATAGCTACAAACAGCAACCTTTTAAGCATACCTTTCTCAGCCTGCTATTGGACACATAAAGACAAAAGGTAGGTAGAAAGCCAATAACTGAAAACCCACGCCTGTAAGGACAGGGTGAAGGAATATCAGTAAATGTTGATGTACAGTGCAAGTACTGAACTCTCCCTCAACTCGAAGATGAGAGTTCCCACAGGATGAGCTTACAAAGACAGTGACGCTCTCTGGACATGCAAGCTGGTTTATGGTCTGTGTAGGTTTTTCAACCACATACATTGTATTGATTCACCCATTTCATAGCTTTTCGAAGCAGGTCTTCCACACATGCTTTTACACTCAAACAAACCAAAGAGGTACGGGGGACTAAGACATTCCAGTAAAGTTTACTACTATAGTCATCCAATAAGAGATATTTAGAAACTGAAATCATACTTTATCTGTAAGGATACTGAACACAAGGGTATAAATGCAAGATATTGCAGAGCATTTCTCAACATAGAGATCAGACCTACTTTCTATGAGACCTGTCAGGAGGCCGGTCTGACTTATCAGACCTACCTTATCAAACCTGACCAAACAGACGCAGAGCTGACTTCGTAAGACAATTATTCCTTTCTCACCGAGTCACTCAAATACATTTTCCCCCATTCATTCCCTTTGGGATTTAATTTCACAGACCTGCAGGTTGCTCAAATCAAATTCAATCAATTCACTTATTCACTCATAATTCATCCTATCATCTTTTGCCGAGACAAATACAAGCTAATCTGATTCTAGTGCCCCTGTGCAGTGTGTTAATCGGGCTAACTGGGTCAGCACGGTTATTATGACTGAGTTGCAGTGATCAGTTGAGCAGGGCCAGAGTGTTGCTAAAATGCAAACAGCCCTGAGAAGCAGCTGCACGATTGCAACAGGTCATTATCTTGACGTGGAGGGTAGAGTGGTTGATTGGAGTACCAGCAAAACACATGTGCTTCAATCAGCAAGCCTCCTCTCTTCAAATGCCTCACTTCCACCATAGAGACACTATACTGATTAATTTGGGACAGTTGGTATTTACAGATTTTTGGTGGCAGCTTAAAAACCCTCTCCAGACCCTTAAGAGCCAAGTATGACTATCATTAATATTCACAACAATATCATCCCACCTGCAAAATACACCACTATAATTCTGTTCTTGCATTCTTTTTATGCAATAGCCGAAGTGTTGAACTTGCAATTGCTGTATTTTTCCACAACCGCAGCAACAACAAAAACTCTAACATCAGTAATCAACACCTTACAGGATTCAGTGTAGCTGTATACTTCAATAAGTCTTAAGGTGTTTTTCAGTTAATCTTTTCATATAATAATGGCCTGTTTTTCTCCTCCAGTGGCACACTTCTTCATCTTCATCTCTTCTCCATGAACAGAAACCCTGGGCTCAATTGACTGCATTCACTGAGGCAGAGTCTCAAAGGACAGTGAGTAGATCAGGGCTAAATAAACACCAACAGACTTGCATCTATCTGGAGCTTCAAACACAAACTAAAATGTCTCACCTGGGGCAAGGTATTTACACACAGTACAGGGAAAGGCATCTTTTCATGTTCCTCGCTTCTACATCTTCCATTTTATTCACAGAAATGCCTAACCATTAAACAGATCTAGTAGGTGGACCTGTATCACAACTATGAGCCGTACAACACTTCTCTTTCATCATGAAAAGCACAGAGCCACTGAAGATGGCTAAACCGTGAGGGAAATGTTTCAGTTAGACATGGTTACACATTATGGAAGTGGACATTGTCTCTCAGAAATAAGGTGTAAAGGTTATATGAAGTCTGTTTTTAAAAGGGTTAGAAGAGTGCACATATTGCACTAATGGTAGAAGGGATCTTGATGTCCACTTCTTTAAATGTAATGTTAATGCCCGTTAATCAGCTTTAATTTTTAAATATACCCTTCACTCCTGTCCATTCTCCTAATTCAGCACACGTGGTGTGCAGACGGGCTTCTGATTAAACCAGTACAGTATCAGCAGTGACAGCTGGCAGGGTGATTAGTCTATGGACTGATAATGGAGTGGATCAAAGCTCTTTAGGAGGGCTCCTGAGGGGCTACAGGCCTCACAGGGACTATCACTGGGGTAGGAGGGCCACTTCCAAACAACAGGATGTGAGGCAACAAAAGACAGGATGCGAGGGTGCATGGGCACTAGAAGCCTGGAGCAACTATTATTAAAACACATTTTTATACTGAGTGGGCACAGGGATGGATTTACTCGTGACTGTGACTGACAGAGCTCCACTGGATTTATACTTCTTCTATTTCTGTCTTAGGTTTCCCCACCGGTAGCAGGATTCTTCACTGCTTATCATAAATCCAAATACTCTCAGCTTTCATTTTTATGTCACTCTTGTTACAATGTCCTCCCTTGCTACAACCCTTTGTCTCCTGTATTGAATTTAACAGAAGGCAGTTCCTTGAAAAATACAATTATCTTCAGAACCAAGGATTTTGTAGCTCTGCACCTGAATACAAAGCATTTTAGCTTTCTATTCCCTGGTTTACGGGTCCACTAAGAACCTCAGAGATTTAGTACACCAGGAATACAATATTCCAATACAATACAATATACTTGATGTATAATGTTAACTTAACAGAAAAAAATATTTTTAACACATTTTTGACATTTGCAAACTTTTAATAAAGTAACACAAGTCTGATATGCTAAAAGTATTTCTGGTTTAGTACTTCTATTCCATTTCTTTTTTCATCTGATCTGTATGTCATCTACACACTGGAGTTGAGATGTTCTGACCTCAAAACATACTTATTGACCAGAGGTCTTTGTTTTGCTTTAAGAAATCTTTTAGGGTGTTACTGGTCACTTGTCAGTATCTGAAAATGCCCATATAGAGGTATGCAATAATTTATTCCTTAATCTTTTTAAGATTTTCAAATTTCTTAAAAATGATCTGTTTAAAAGGGTACATGAACCATGAGATGTGAATATGTATGGAGCTATTTAACACCTAACATATATTTCATATCGAAAACATAAATAATTTAAATGAACAAAACAAACGTGTTGGGTGCAAATCCAAATCAACTAATTAACAGCTGGCAATAAAATGATGCAGAGATTTAGAAATGGTACTGCTACAAACAACTGTTTGCTCTGATGAACCTGACTGTTTCTGACCAGTGGCATGTTCTGACATTATTGCACGGTATTGAAGAATAAGAGTCAGATCTGTGTGCCCTTGTTTTGGCTACCGCAATACATGCTGGAAAGGGGTGTTACCACATCTTTAAAAGCCTCTGTGGATTAGAGCTACCATAGAAGGCAAGCTAGGTCACTGGAGCCCTGTGCAAATCTATAGGGTGCAAGCCATCTGTCACATCAGCACACAATGGATTACATTAGTTTCTGACAAGTTGACAAATTCTCTGGTACCTCTCCACCCCCAGCAATGTCCGGTCACATTAGAAAAATATTAAGATGAAATTTAAGAGAAGATCTCCTCTGGGCATTAGTAAAGGAGGCATACAGAAAAATTCTGCAGGACAGTCGTCTCTTATGATAAGGTCAAAAGTCTGAGCCTGAGCAAGAGGAATGCATGTCAATTAGTGGTACCTTGGCTGCCATCTTAGAGCAAAACAAAGGACAAAGTAAAACAAGATTAAGAGCTGTATATTTAAAGTCTCAGGACAACAGGAATAACCTCATTCCATCATCAGTGCTCTTAACATTTCTACTGGGTACATTGAAAGCTACAATTCTACTTGATTTTAGTGAAATATTGCTTTGCAAATGTTTTTGTTGCAACAGGGTTTCACAACCCCAGTTAGAGACATTACTCAGCACCTCGGCATCCAGACTCAGTAATTCTGTGCTCTTTTTCAAGCCCAGCTCTAAATAGTGATGCACCCAGTGTCTGAAACTGCAGTCGAATTAGTAAGAAACAAGCTATAACAATTAAGGACTGAGACCATTTTTAATCTTCACAGCTTACAGAGAGTACTGCTGTTCTGCTATTTGCTATATGCTATCTTAATACAATATTCAGGACCTATGTGATAAATTCAAATTCTAATTCAAAAGAGATTTAATGAAAGAGCCCATTTAGTCTTTAAATGAAATTTAACAGTGACCAGCTTCTACCTTACCCCTACACATCCTTAGGTCTAATTAGGTCTATAAAACAAGTCTTTATAGAGCCACCATCTGCCTCATTCTAGTTGTCCGAGAGTTTTTTCCAGGAAGCATAAATGGTGACCTGCAACTGTAGAATTCTAATATTAAGCCATAAAAATTAAGTTAGATAAAAAAAGATAAAAAACACAGAAGTAAACAGGGCTGTGAATGGTTTAGTACATAAAGAGTTATTGCTTCATTCAGAAGCACAAAGTCTCGGCAATAATAATTAAGAGATCACTGTATCCTTCGAAGGGGGGATAATTTCACATGATATGTACCATATGACCTCATGCTATATGACCTATCCCTGGACTAACCCCTTTTAATACTGACAAAGTTATTAAGAACCTAAAACAGGTTACTGAGCTGATCACAATAACAGAAAGGACTGAGGAACAGACCCCACAGCGTTTCCACTTCAGGAGGCTGGTTTTCTGGTCCTCCGGAGGAGCAAAGCTGCAAGCAGCAGCCTGTCCCAGAGAAACAGGAACATGCTGTGAGTGTGGGCCATTCCACCATGGCCCACACTCACGGATACGCAGGACCAGCAAGGCAAGGTGATGAATTCATGGCAACGCAGAAGAGAGGGACGTCAGCTGGGCCTTCCCGCCCCCCCACCAGCGGCCCCCTCCCTGCGAGAGCTGGGTGTAAACTGTGAAAGAGGGGGGTACCGTTAGCGTCCTGGACCCCCGCGAGTGCTCCCACGGCGGCGGCCGTCTCCCCCGCCAGGACGATCTGCCCTCCGCTCTGCAGCGTCGCCTCCGCTAGCGTCGCCACGGCGTGAGCTGCTGCCTCGCTGCAAAACACAGACACGGCTATACATTCAAGACACCCCTCTTGTCTCCTGCCCACACAGCAGACGTGCTCAAGCAAAGGCAGGGGGAAGACCCAGTTTGTTGTTCAGGTTGGGACGAAGCACATCGGTATAAAGAGCACTCTTTTCACACGAAACGGATTCAAAGGATCTGAGGAGCAGGACCAAGCAAGTGGCTTTCCCGGGGATCCTGTGTGCACCACTGAAATGTGTGACCATGAGCACCTGAAACACAACACATGGCTGAGGACATGGTGTGCTGAAGGAGGTTTCAGCTTTCTGTGGAAACCCTCCCATGATAGGGGTTCCCGTACTGGCATCATGCATTACTTCTGAATGAGACGGGCACCAGCTGGCCCTAGGCAAGGATCCACTTGAAACACATCAGCCTCGTCCTAGAGACTATCAAAAGCAACAAGTGGAGCAGGAGAAAGATTTTAACCCCGATTAAGGTTTGGTCATGTCAAGCAGAGTTTATTACCTTTCTGGATTAGGTAACAACGCTAAAGTTTACATCACTAATTTAAGAAGTGATTAGAGATCTTTAATGTCAGTTTGAAAAGAGGTCAAAACAAGCATAACAAAATTAAACATCTCAAAGCTAGACCTGAGATTACCAGCCATTACTGTGGCTGGTATAATACTGGCACCTTTAACTGCCAGTGAGCTTGTCTCCTGGCCATCGAACTCCAGGATTACAGATAATCCAGGGCTCCCACTTATTTTTAGGTCTATGTTGCTTGCAACAATGTATTTTTATCTAGATGAAGTCATTATGAAAGTCAGGCCTCTTATCACTTTTAAAAACCTAATGAGTGACTCCATACTATATGAAAGACACAGAATCAGAAGACTGACAATCTGGGCTAGCCCTTCCCCACGCCACTGTAGGTCTGCTGCTAAACAGCACGTCTGCCACACACAGGGAGGGAGCAGGGGACAGATACCAAAGCAGTCAGTGATTCAATGGCACTTAATTCTGTTAAGTTTACGATTGGAATACAATGCCTGCCCCAGAGCAACAGGTAACAAGATCCCATATCTAGCTCCTTTGCGAATTACAGTAGCAAATAAGATAGAAGACTGAACTGAATGAAGCTTGTGAGACAGATTAATTCTTCCTACAAGACAAAATGCCCTCAAGCCTTAATGTCTCAACATGAACAGTACGGATCTTTTGAACACAGGCAATAGTGCATTACAGAATGTGCCATCTGAGAATCTTTATCCTATCATAATTCACCCAAATAACAGAAACGCCAGCCACCTCATTTTCTCAGAGGTGTCCCAGTGACTTTAACAAGTGCTAACACAATCAGAAACAGGGTACAGAAGGGCATTTCCTCAGACTTTTTGAGTGCAGTATCTTGTTTCATTCCTTTCTGAGTCCACTTACAGGAATGCGTCTGATTTAATTTGGTGACCCCAGTGTTAGAAAATACACCGAGCCCTCTGGCTCAAGCTATAGTCTTCGAGTTGACTCTGCCATCATCTAGCTTATAGTCACTTATCTCAGATGGCTGCGCTGACCTTTACTGGAAGGAAACATCCTCTGTAAAATCCCAGATGCACAAACCACATCAGCAGACAGGCATATTATTACAGCTGATGATGTAGATCAATGTCATAGTACCCTCTCAGTGCTCAGTCCTGTCTCTGTCGCGTGATCTACCACCATGTACCTCCCCTGTGTGGAAGCTTTGCTGCACAGTCACAAACTTATACGCATAAAATACGAGTCTCAGTAGTTAAAACTATTAAAAAAAAATCTCTACTAGACAGAACCACCAGAATGACTAAAACCGTCTGTCTATGGGAAGGCCACTTACATAACACGTCCCTCTATGCAGACAGGGAATCCTACGGCATTTAGCAGGTGCAACAGCTGTGCTATTCTCGCCTGACACAAAAACAAAAATGTCAAGCTTTGACCAGCAACAGCTTTGATGATTGACATATCGATGAAAGAATACTGACATCTAGTGGAAACAAAACCCCTCATTACAATTTCATATTTGTGCTTAAATGAGCATATTCTATTACTTACTGATTTGTATCCCATTCTTCACATGCTGTACTCTATGTGTTCTTGGGGATACTAGAACTCTAATTCTAACCCTCTGTCATCATTCATGAAGTACTTTTTGCCATGATGGAAGCTGGCAGTCTACCCAATCACAGGAGACCACAGCTTCCTGTTTATCTTCACTGTCCTGCTCACAGGAAGGAGAAACTCCCTAGTTAAACAAACCTCTACCACAGCTAGCAACTTTCTCATCCCTCTTGTCATTTGGAGAGCAGGAAAAAGTGCCACTTGTTTGCTAAGCGAACAGGTAAACTCCTGGGCAATGCTATTTAATTTCGTTGAAAGAGCACCAATCCAAGCACCTGGGAAGTTAATGAATGCTTCTGTGTGACCTTCCGTATGAGAACATCCTTTAATCTTCATGTTCTGTATGCTCATATTTACTTTTCAAAAAAATAATTTGACTGAAAATCTACAATACTAGCAACACACTAAAAGGACGGCAGACAATGTGTGTCAAGTGTTTAGCTTGCTGACCCTACAGTTGGATCAGGAGCCTCATAGACACACAGGGTTAGGTTTGATTGCTTTGTTCCTTGTACATCCATAACTGGCCATATAGCTACAGAAAACTAGAACCAGATGAACAGGATGGGATAAATAACCTCCTGCTTGTGGCTGCTCTGATATTCTATTTTATCAATAGTCCTTTACAGAAGCACAGAAAAAAAAATATTTTAAGAACAACAACAATCATATATCCTGAATACAAAATTTAATTGGAGACAGAAGATTGAAGACATTCAGTGAATTCCCCTGTGTGCGTTAGTAGCCTCAGAAAGAAGAACAGCCTCAACATTCTTCACAAAAGCTAGCACTCACAGTGTACAAATGAACTTTAAACAAGGGGAAGAATCTAAAATACATTAAGTCTATAAAACACAACAGATGAAGACTAAACCAAGAAAGTCAATTTGGTCTATCTGATAAAACCGAGATCCTGACTCTTTGTGGTCATTAAAAATGTTAACACCTGTGTGCTACTCTTGAAAGCACCATTCGAAAAGAGTAGGCATGTTAACCCCAGTGTCTTGGCCACATTTCTCCCCCTGGCCTTTAACAATTGTGGCCTGCTAATAATCCCCATCTATGAATTGGCTTCATCACTCAGTTCTCCTGCTCACTGATAGTTGATGAGTAGTGAGAGTTCTGGCGCACTTTGGCTGCCATTGCATCATCCAGGTGGGGCCACACATTGGTGGTGGAGGGGAGTCCCTATTATCTGTAAAGTGCTTTGAGTGGACTGTCTGGAAAAGCTGTTTATAATAAGTGTAAGGAATTATTAATGATAACATTTTTATTTAAACAAAAGCAGAGACTCAAAGCTCACAAAATTAAAGTGAGCAAACAAGAGAACAGTCTACACAAAAAATACAGCTACTGTTCTCAATTAATAAATCCCCCCAGCTCCAGCAGCTCGAAATGAAACAGGGTGCTGTGCACAGCTGCAGGTGAAGCTGATAACAAGCTCTCCTGGGAAGACAGTGTTCCAGTGCTGTCGTGTGAAGCATTTCAGCTCCGGGACCGAGTGTGAACTGTTATGGAAACTGTGCTGACTGAAGCATAAGCACCTGTGGCATCAATTTGTTTGAGCACATGTCATCCACTGTTACCTAGAACAGTCAGTACCCGACCCACCTCCAAAACATTACTGTCTGAGACACCAGCTGCCTGTATCCCAACATGCTTTTCTTTTAGCCAACAATCTGCATTTCTCAAAATCCCAGTACAGTCTAGACTCACCTTAACACACAGGTGTTAATGTGCATTGTTTGCGCACAAAAGCAGCACTAGCTGACAAGACTACATTTTAAGGTAAACCAAAAGGTAACTCTCCATTCACCACACCACTGGCCTAAGTTGTCTTTAGTTAGAGGACTGGATCAAGTTAGAACTCTATTCTTGAGCGATCCTAATCGACTGTAGGATTCCTGGATATAATTTCAAATTAATACATAAAGCACAGAAAAGACACACTTGAAAAAAAAAAGAAAGAAAATCAGTCAGAAAAAAATCCCCAGAATGCAACAGTGCTGCATGCTTAAAGGAGTTAATCCTCTCCAATACAATAAAGGAGTAATGGCAGTTCTCTTCATAAGAGGAAATAATGTTCTTAATCAGATCCACAATGAGGTTTGAGGGGTTTTCTGATTATGTCAAGAATGACAAGCTGCTACTTGCAGTCTCGGGTCTAATTTAGTAAGTAAGGAACCAAATTTGTTTTGTCTTTAAAATGTTGGCCAAGCTGATTTCAAGCCCCGCTGTGGATCTCCTCACAGCAGGCCCTCTCCCCTGAGTGGGCCTCTCCTCCCTTCTGTGTACCTGTTCAGCGCCATGGTAACTGTTGCTCCCTGCTGCATCTCCTGAGAAGCCGCCACTGCTGCCTCAGCTAACGAGGCCACCGCTTGTGTTGCCTCCGAGGCCTGAGTTGTCTGAATCGTCATTTCTCCTCCTTGGAGCGTTGCCCAGTTCTGTTCTACCTGCACAGCAGCAGCAGCAAAAAATATTAGTAAATAGATAAAACACACTTGTCTTAAAATCAACCTCGTTCTGCAATGGAATAAGTACTTCCATCTGGTTGGAAAGGATGCAAATATTATATTAAAAAAATGATTTCAATAACAGCAGAAAATAACTCTTAAAGACCAAATGCAAATATAATATTATTCACAAAAGCTCTTCTTTTAGACACTCTATCAACACTGCTTTCAATATACAGAAGTAAAAATATGGAATATTCTGTGGTAATGTTTCCCTCCATCTTATGCTTATTTAAGCCGGAAACCAGTTGTGTTTTAGTTAAATGTGTTTTATGTTGTTAATATGATAAAACACTATGAAAAAAGCTAAGCTTAAGAACAAGCTCATACTAAGCTTTTAACTTTGAGACTTGAAACTGGAGCAGTTCAACACCATCCTGAAATGTTGTATTTACGTATCATTTTGTTTTTTCAGTGTGCAACTTGTGAGCTTTTGTTGAATGCTTGAGTGCCTCACCTCTCCATCGGTGACCGTGGAATAGTTCACCTGAGCCACAGTGACAGTAGTGGGCAGCTCTGAAGCGTCTGCAAGTGTAGCTACTGTGGCACCTGTGCCAACCTGTGAGTACAGTGAGAGGAGCAGACAGAGACTAAAATAAACCTCTGCATGGAAGGTACTTAAAACACCTCTGCATCAGCCCAACCAAATACGTGCGTTCCATTTTTAATATATTACAGCATCTTTATTAGGAATACTGTAGTAATTTAAATAACGGCAACTTGTACCATTTGAAGATCAAAAGTTGTATTACAGGTGAGCGTTTTCCAGGGCAGAACAGACCTACAAAAGGCCATTATGAATCGATGCTGCTGTGAAAGGCGAAACCCCCCCACCACCACACACACACACACAAATAAGAAACAGCTGCAGGGTTTCAAAAACAATGCAATGCTTCGCCATCTTTAACTGCACACAAACCAAATGAAACAGCCAATAAAAAAAGAAAGAAGTGGTCGTCCCACAGGGCTCATTTGCCCTCTTTCATCTCTCTTTCAATTTTTCTTTAATATTAAAAGAAACAATCTCTGTCTGCAGTTTATCACCAAGCCTGAAAGGTTTTTAATCCTACTAAAATTCTTCAATTGTTTTCAACTTGGCTCCACACAGAGACAGACCTGGTGTTTGAAGTTGCCTTTGAACCAGTACGAAATCAGTCTCATTACTAATGCTCATATCTTACACTAAATGCTCAGCAATTTCTTATTGAACACCTGTGAATAGCTCATATTTCCCACAGGTTTGTTTTCTTTTTAATTAATCCACCTTTAATACCATGATGCAGTTAGATCTCTCAGTTGTTTCTTTGTTAATGTGCCTAGTTGGTGGAGTATATTACCGGTATAAATGCTGAAAGCGCACATTTTCACTGGATTTGGATCATTGTTTTGTTTTAACTGTGTCCGTGTCACCTTTGACTAATATCATTCATTTTACTCCCAGGGAAGGCGTGACTTCAAAACACCACATCTGAAAACAGCAACAGCACCCAGAGACCCGGCAGGATAAATGTGATAAATCCCTGCCTCCATTTCTCCAAAGCTCTGACAGAGCTGACCTCAGAGGACCTGAGGCCCTCCTAGATACTCACTTGTATGAGGGAGACGGTGCCGTCAGGGTTGCTGATGGTCTGCACTACTGTCTGCGAGGGGACGAGGTGGGCAATGCTGTGGGTGGCTGCCGTGGCAACGTGTGTCTGTGGGGCCTGCTGGTCCTCGAAGGCGTACAAGAGGTCCTCCCGGCCATGCTGCTTGTAACAGTTCTTCACTATGGTCCGTAGGGCCTGTGTCCATGACACCTTCACACGGCAACAGCAAGAACACAGCATTACTCTCGCATTCTGAGTCGTGGCAAGGGCAGTTTAGACAGGAAGGAGCCACTGCTGTGAGACTGGACGTACTGGACAATTCATTAATATGACAGGGCTCGGGAAATAAAGAAACATCCATTTTATTGTTAAAAGGAACATTCTAAATAAGGGAAAATGTATACCAAAACCAGCATTTAAAAAAAACACCAACCCCCTTGAGGGTTGAAAGCCATTTCAGCAGGCTGACACCGCCCTCCTGTCCCAACACCGTCTCGGCCCCCCTCACCCTCTGCTTCTGCTCCTCCGTTCGGACGTCGCTGCGGACGTTGGCCCAGGGGATGTCGTCTGGCCACCAGATGGGCTTGCAGCTCTCCTTACCCCAGCCGGGCTTGCCCCTGCCCGTGGAGTACTTCAGCATCTCGGGGATAAAGGCCCGCAGCTGGGCCTAAAGGAGCAAGACAACCACACAGGCTACCCCACTGTAACACACTCATTTCCCACCAGCACAGGTCACACTCATGGGGCCTAGAATTCAATAGCATCTTATTCAACATTAAAAGCATCTGCAGTGCATCTTTAGTGATGAAAGGAAGTTATCAATTTTTAATTGCAGGAGTGCATATTGAAGACTATAAATAAACACCCTATTAGAGTGCTTAGAGTTTGATTTCAGGAAAATCTTTCCTATTCTCATATAGGCTTTTCAGTATATTGAGTGTCATGGTATGATCTAGAAATTGCCATTGTAACTGTCAAGCCAATGTTTGTATTTTTGGAACTGGTTAACAGTGTTTGCCCTGTTTATTTTCAAGGGGAAGAGGTCTCTAAAGGAGCACGGCACTGCTTTACTTCACACAGAATATTAAAGGAATTTCTCAAATAAATTCTCAAGGCCACCATGTAAACCTGAGCTTGGATTCTAATTAATAAGAGAGCCCACTAAAAACCTGCTTTACTGTAACTCTCAGGACAACAGGACAATATCATGCCCAGAGCACCTCTGACATCTCAGGACATTCAGGGGATAATTAAGCAATGACAATAGACGAGCAAAGCTCTTAATCCATCAGATTAGCCATCAAACCCCTTTCTTTTCAGGCCTTAATATCTGGTCAAAAACTGTTATAGTCCATCTGCCCCACTTTGAATGAACACTATTCTATCTCTCAGCATAATTTCTGTCACTTAATGTCACTAACTGAGCCAGTATCCGCTTGGGTAAAAACATTTGTCTGCTGCACTTCAATGCTAAACTTAATATTTCGTTTTGTTCATGATATATTACTTGGGTACATGAAAACCCCTGAGTGAAATGCTCAAGCAAAGTGAATACTGCCATACTTCACTCTGGACCTGCTATAATTCTAACCTTAGGAGTTGAAAACCAAAATTATAATGAGACATTCAAAACTGGTTTTCATACCACTCAGGCAAAGTGAACCACCATGAACAAACTGACTTAATTCTTAAGATGAGCAGAAATTTCAAAGACCTACACAGACCTAACTCTCAGTAAAACCAGGGAACAATTACTATTCACAAGATTGATTGCTTGACTTAACTCAACTACAGAAATGAAGAAAAAGAACTAAAATCAAGAGGAACACTTAAAGAAATATGAAGGGATATTAAGAAATTCCTAACATTTGTTTATTATGGAAACAGTCTTTGTTGGTTACAAATGCCTTCAATTTTATTTTGGACATGATGCTTTTCTCTACGCAGTTATCATCACACCATCTGCATAATTATTACATATCCAATTTCTCTACTGTTTCTACAAAAAGAAGCTGTGACGTCATATGTCACACTACAGTGTCCTATAGACAAGGATAAAGCAACGCAATGAAAATTGATTGATGCAACCTTACTTGCTACATACTGGGCTTACTGTATGGGGAGAGACTTCAAGCCAACCTAGTTTAACCGGTTCCTCTCTGTGCAAGCAGCCTGGTGCCCCTTTTGCAGAAATGCCGTTATTGCTGTCAGTAGCAATAGGGTTAAGCCTTGTCCTTACTGTCCCTGATAATTCGCAAGCCTGATCGGCATTAGATTGCACACCGAAGCACTGCAGCGTCTGCTGCCTGACATCACAGGCTAAATTTGGCTCCAGAGAAACCAATCGCCTGCCATTAGCCCAGTGCTTGTATGCAAGCCCTGCGCCACACAAATGATTCCATCCGTCTGGGCAGGTACAGAAGAAAATCAAGGGTAATGTTTGTACTTAAAAAAAACTCAGGAGTGCAGAATAAGAATCCTTTGGTCATTTTCAAAAGCCTGTTAAAAATATCTTGAGTTCCAGAACTAAAAAAACACCCCGACATTTTCAGTCTTTTATTTGAATTAAGTACTATGATACATTTCAGAAAGGGAACCTGCTAGAGGTTCGAAAATGGACCACAGATTTAAAAATATAAACCACATAACCGTGAAATTGACTGATAACAGAAAACACAATGCACCCGTAGAACTGGAGCTTTCTATTAATGGCTGCAATAATAAAGTGATGTACAACAATGCAAGTACAATTGAACACTACTCCACTGCCAAAGCAAATTCAAAGGCAAAGTTGTTGGCACCGGAAACTGACCTATGCTGTACTAAACACGAGCTATACAGTAAAAGGACCTGGGAAAATACAGATTTCAACTATTCAGATATTTCACATTATTTACTTAAATTTCTAAATGATCTGAAATGAAGTGGATTTTGTTTAAATATGAAATAATGCTTAAAGATCCTAATTCTGTGGATACGTTTATACAGAATAACCTTAAATTGTTTACAATACTTCTATATATGAAATCATTTATATGATTTTCACCAACAACTCCTTCAGTCAGCCCTGACATACTCAATCGGAGTGCAGGTTGTATCTCGGCAACAACACAACAACGCAGAGTTTCAGAGAGCAGCAAGATTCTACAATGCAAGGTTTCCTGTACCTGAAGTGCTGCAGCTCAGCCAAACTGACTAACATAAGAAAAGTTATAAATGAGAGGAGGCTACTCAGCCTATCTAGGCTGTTTGGTGCTAGTAGCTCACTGATCTCAGGATCTCATCCAGCTGTTTCTTAAAAGATGTAGGGCTGTAATTTTCACTTGCCCTCTGGTTCAAGATCCACTGTGTTCACTCTGATGATGTCAACAGGATCGACTTTGTCAATGCCTTTCAGGGTTTTGGATAATTGTCCTTAATTATGATAAAATACTGTCTTCTTTGCTCAAGACCATCAAGGTTCAGTACTTTTAGGCTGTCAGTCTAGTACAATGTTAAAATTGGTCTGAGAATGTAGTCACTCCTCTCTAGCCTGATTGCAGAACAGTAATATCTGTTATGGGGTGACCAAGACTGTACACAGCGTTATAATTTTAACACTTTCACATGATATTTTATACACTTTTAACTGCATACTCTAACATTCTGATTGTTTTATTATAGGTCCACACTGTCAAGAAGATTAAAATATTGCGTCAACAGACATACCTGTTTTGAAGATAGTTTCTACCAGTTCAGTTTTTTCCATCTTACACTTATAATTTATGTTTCAGCAGCCTGCATGTAACATTCTGTATTTGTCTACATTAAATCTCATCTGCTGGGTGTTTGCCCTGTCTTTGTCTGATTTTTTGTCTGAGTCTTGTCGTAATACAAACTTTAATTCTTAAGTCAATAGCCTCTCAAGGTAATCTTTTATGTGAAAGTTTATAATTCCTCAAAAGTCTTCTGAAAAGCTAAATATATGACGTTAAATGCAAGTTAGTTAAGCAAGACCAGTCTTTTCTAAATCCATGTTAATTGATTAGCTTTCCGTTGACTTCCATTTATCAATTCTATAACCTTACATGTAACAGAACACTTATTTGTCTGTAATAGCTTGGTACGGATCAGTCACTTTGGTACGGATTCTGTTACAATAGCACTTTTGGATTCTGCGTATGACCTCTGTTTTGAGTAAGAAATTAAAATGTTTCTGTAAATAGCCAAGGATAACATCCTGTTTTATTTAGTATAACTGAAGACCCTGTTGACTCATTTTAAATACTGTAAATAGTCCATTTTTATCTTGTGTGCAAGATAATACATTTATTTTCTCTCAGTGGATCCCGTTCATTTTCAGCTAATGCAAAGAGATTTTCATACATTTTTCCTAAATTGATTTAAGTCAAGTCACTTGGGCCTGTGCTTTTCTCAACATTGATTTACATACTCATGGGATCAATCAGTTCTAAGCATCAAAGAGGAAATATAGTTAACGTCATTATTTCTCTTTAACAATGATATAATTTTCTTTAAATCTTCTAAAATATAATTTTAGAATTTTTAAATATCATAAAATATATTTATGAATATTTTATATTATTTAAAATGGATGTTTTTATGAACAGTAGCAGTTGAAGTGAGTTAAAATTAGGCACTATTTTCTTTTAAAAGAGATCAGTTATTTAAAAAATACAACTCACAACAAATGACACTTATTGCACATTTTTGGTTTGTAGCACCCGCTATCGAAGAATGTATTTCTGAAACTATTTTAAACTTTAGAAACTATATTTTTCTCACTCATTGCCTAATACAGCATTACTAAAAAAAGTGTTCATTTGAAAATTTTAAATTTAACAAAACAGATTACATTTAATATAAAGAATTTTCTCTCCCTGTTGGTTGTATTAGTATGGGTGTGATTTTTACCTCCACCGAATCAAAAACTCAACAGCTTTTAAGGTTTAGGCCTCAGTGCGCAAATGTCACTGCAAAAGTGGATGAGGCAACAACCAAATAACCTGGTGTGTTCAATCCTGCTGCCCTTCCGAATCTGCACCATGTCTAAGGCAGATGGCTTAATTATAGGAGTGACAAAATCAAGAGGTGCATTTCTGCTAGAGGCACTTGTTAAGAGACAGTCCCTCTCCCAATCCACCAGGGAGCCAATCAGTGGTGAGTGTGTTGGTGGCTGATGAGCTGAGGGGCCTCGCTAATTACCAGCACAAGGAGGCCTGAGCTTCGCCTGCCGCACTGAAGACCAGCCCACACCTCGTGGTATTGGTGAGCCTTCAGATACAGCAGGACAACTGCACTGAGCAACTCCTGGGGGCCTGCCACACACTCACCTCCACCTGAGAAGCTGTGAGAGTCGACCCGTCTCCCAGGGACCAGGACAATTAAAGGAAAGAAAGAGAGGGCGAGATATTTGTCCTCCTGTCAGCTAGTGAAAGAAAAACAACTGGCAGCTCTGAACCTCTCACACCAGTCTGAGGACACTCCTGCCTGAGCAGAATTCCTCATTGGCGGGCCAGTTACACCCCCCTCAAACCCTCCCCCCCTCCCAGTTTACTTTGCTGCATCTCTGGAGAGTACGGTGAAAGACAAGGAAGCTATCCTATTCTGATCCCGAACTGTGAGCCTTCCACTGCGTCAGCACGGCTACCTCAAGTAAACAAGTCCGCCTCTGGGGGGAAATGGAACCCTGCGCTCACTGAACAAATCAACTGCCATGGACCATTCTTGACAATAGGTTTATGGTAATGTCAGAAAAACAGAGATATTTCCCTGATTATTGCAGTTGCAGCCTAGCTAACAAAATGCTGTACCCTGGCACCGTTTAAAAAAAAAAACAACAATAGGGGGCATGATGATGCAATTACTGTTCCCGATACATTTTTCACATCAGCACAAGGGACTGCATGGCTAAAAATGGCCTTTAACGTCAAAGTTCAGAGCAGTAGGTTACACAGGAGGCCCTAGACAGTCTTAAAACTACTGCAAGTAAATGCATTATATGCACAAATTAAATTCATTAATTAAGAAATGCAGAAATAGCAGCAAGTCTTGAATTTTCCACCTTAAGAATTTTCACAGATCACGGAACCATGATGGACCAGTCAGAGGCTCGTCGCTACTAACTGAATAACATGATCACTCGGTTTGTTTACTGAGCTCTGAACCTCCTTCTCCATTCTCTGTCACTTCTACCAGCCCAAAATACAAACTGCTTCTTTGGACCCCCATAAATCTTCCTCCACCTTCTCAACCCAAAGGCCAACGTCTCAGAACTAATTCTCTCGTATCATCCTACTACCTGTCTTCTGGAATCTGGTCCCTTCTCTTCTGCTCCCCTGAGCTACTCCCATTCATTTTCTCCATCCTCATTCATTCACCTTCGATAGGAAATGATTAAACCTCATCCTTACTATTTACCCTTCCAAACACATAACTGAGGCCTGGCTGCCTGCTAAGAAACTGGCTGCTTGCTTGGAGAGTCAGCTGAAACCCTCTACTAACCATTCCACAACCACAGTCCTGAGTTTCCACTCTAACACAGCCTTACCTGTGTCATCTTGTCTACGGAGACAGGGATGCCGTCGATGGTCAGGGGCGGCAGCTCGGAGCTCATTTCAGGCGGTGGCGGTGCGTGTTCTGCCAGAGCCGTCTCCAGGTCCTCTAGTATCATGCTCTTGTACTTCCTCACCTGAACGGCAAGGCATGAAGCAGATGAGCGAGGGGTTCTGGGTGAGGGGTCCTTCACAATGAAGAAGGTCTTTACAATATCTGATGATTCCCCCCACCACTTACACAGACTATACACACTACTCAGGATTTCACAATACAACAAGACGCACAGAGGGCAACACAGTTATCTAAGAACAATGTCGTTATAGTTATTGCAGATTGGAGCAAAACATAACACAACACTTTTTGCTCCAGAGCAGAATTTGCCCATCGCTGTCTATGGAAGACTAGAGTAAAATATGCACAGTATTAACAAACATCGAAGTTCTTTTGTAAGAAGATTAGACCAAAGGATCATTACATGTGCCTCATGTGACACTCTTGCCTAGGATGATGGGCTCTGGTGGAAAAAAATGTACGAGGGGAACTTGATGTGACATGTCAAGAAGTATCTTCTTTCTATTCTCCCCCCATCCCCAGAAGAAAACAGTGGAGCAGACTTTCCAGCCTGACTAGAATTTGTTCAGTCATACAACACTTGGAAGAAATGGAAGACAAAAACTAAATGTCTGGAAAAAAATAATAACTGATGTAGCTTACTTTAAAAATGTAAATCATAATTGAGGGGAAAGAAACAGAGCTTCGGAAATAATATGCTTCACAGAAAAAAAAACACACTGTATAGGAAAAGAGTGAAACTAAAAAAAGATTTTGTGTGCAGAAGCTGGCAACCCCAGTTATTCCCAATAGGAGTACCCGCTTGTCTCATACTCAGTGTGATACGCAGTGTAGCACTTACCACATTCTCCAGAGGAGCTGCCCCAAACACTTTGAACACAGCATTGGGCTTAGAGGGGGAGATGCACAATACAATTGCCTGCTGGCCAACTCTGGTGGTGTATTCATCTAAAGTAGCTCTCAGTTTCCTACAGCAAGGCACAACAAATGATGTCACCTCTTACAAAGCACATACATAACATTGCTTTTTTTACTTCCTAGCTTATCATATACTACAGCAAAAAAGACAAATAGGACAGCTAAGGGCTCCCCCTACTGGTGCCTAATAATATTATAACACATTCCAAGCAGAGCAAGCTTTCTTGCTTTGACTGACATTCTGTTAAGTTGTTCATTTCACTCTGTGTGGGGTACTACTCAGTCCTATTCTTCTGACAGTCTGCTATTCTAAGGACCAACATGGACAAGTGACACAGAAAGAGCGCGTTTCCGCAGCTGCCTAAATAACTAAATAAGTGTTCTCACGTAATTAGGGCTACATGCTGGTGGAAAAGCAGCCCACAAGAAAGGAAAATACAATGGTGATAATGTCTGAGTACCTGTGTGCACATTAGGTGAACAGTAACAATTTGTGGAGAAGGCACCCATAAGCATTGCATTTACAAATATTGGTGTCTAAAACATCACATATTTAAAAATTCTTGGAAAATTTATTCAATTGTAACAATCTTAGGAAACGTTTTAGATACATATACAGTATATATTATACAGCATGGCATACTTTACAGACATATACCATTTTGTGAGAAAGAAAATTGACCAAAAACAGGTTCCCTAAGCTAAGCATATTAGATATTATACCATATCGGTAGACAAACTGCAGATTTATTTTACTAAAGGGAGGCAGTGCAGAAAATTAAGCAGTGAAGCTGTGGCTGGAAGACCCTGGAAACAGAGTTCTTTAGCAATTACCTCACCTGTCATGAAAGAAAAAGGTTTACGTGAACAAAAAAACTTTACTCGGGAATTAATGAGCTCTCTGCTCCCAGGTCCCAGTGCACTCTGCAGCATTCAATATCCCACAGAAGTTGCGTCAGATTCCCAATTAGCCATTTCACTTGGCACCCGGAAGCAGAGTCGCGTGGCCAGAGGACTCACCTCAGCAGTCGTGTCTGCTGCCTCTTGCGAATCGAGGGGTTGGACTCAAATATATGCGGCCGTTTCCGTTTCTTCCCCGTCGCCACGGCAGCAGCTGCTGCCATCCCCACCGGACCTGAAACGAGAGCCCGGAGAGGGATGCAGAGACCGGCTTCAGAGTCCTGAAGCTCGAGCTCCCTTGGAAACCAGGGAAAACCGCAGGGATCTCCCACACAGTACTGTAGATGACACCAGGTTTCATCCGGGTTCACCAACTCCTAGTCTCCACTACTGAGGTGAAACAGTTGTGCTCTTCTTCACCCCAAGCCAAAGGCACAGAGGCACGTCACACACATTAAACTGGAGTTAAACAGGTCTTTAGCTCTGAATTAGAGCTGGTTCCACAACTCCGGGTTTCAGGGAACTAAGTGTGCTTAGTATTCTGAAGCTACCTTGATCAGCTACCTCGGCTATAATGACAAGAACCTCTGAAAGCAAGCAACTGAAAATGACTGGCAAATGGAAAAAGTCTAAGATGGAGATCTGAAAGGAAACAGAATAAAACTACAATTGGACTGGATTCATTTAATAGTATTACGTTTAAGTATTCAACTAAACTGAAAACAATTAAGAGAATTGGTGGTTAGACTACAGTTATCAGCCTTAAAAATAGATATTTGTATGATATAAACATGTGTCATTATTGCCAAATAGGCTTGTCATGCTGTATAATATTTATTAACTCATGACATTCTGGAGTAATAAACGATAACAAAGGTGTCCTGTAATCAACAGCAAGGCCCAACAGGATTCATAGACTATATTTGCAACACCTTAGCTACGTTAGTAACAGTTTAGGTCCTCTCATTTCTCACAGGCCCTTTGTCAAAAGAAACGTTTTTGAAAGAAATGCAAAATCTAAACCAGCTAAAAACCACTGTAAACTGTGATGAAATTTTAAAGAGGCCACTTATGTTGAAGCTTGTACACAGAAATAGTCGCCTCATTCTAAAAGATGTATTTGGTATTCAACTCTGGTTTTAAAATTGATTCAAAATAATGAAATTGCAGTGTAAAGTGTGGAGAGACTTCAAATGAGTATTGAGCTATACGCTGGCCATAATGTAATGGTTTTATGGTACTGCAGTACCCTCTAGTGGATAAATCATTAATTACAACAGATTATTCTTGGTAAAGAATGTATTAATTATTTCAAAGACCCTTTCTATATTCTGACCTAGTCTGACAACAACACTGTAAAAGTACAAATAGGACTGAAAATCTGGTTATTTTATGTATGGTGATAAAAAACAATTTATATTGTGACTTAATATGACAACTAAAAATATATTACATAAACTGCTGCTGGAACTGTGGCTCAGAATCTGTGCCTGTGGCTGGAAGGTTGCAGGTTCAATCCTAATCCGTGGGGCCCCTGAGCAAGGCCCTTAACCCCAACTGCTCCAGGGGCGCCGCATTAATGGCTGACCCCACGCTCTGGCTCCAAGCTTCTCTCCCTGTCTGTGTGTCTCAAGGAGAGCAAGCTGGGGTATGCGAAAAGACAAATTCCTAAAGCAAAAAATTGTATATGGCTAATAAAGTGATCTTATCTTATCTTAATATTCAAATAGTTTCTAGAAACAAATTTTGTGAGATTTAGTTAAAATGGTTCTAATTAGGACAGTCAGAACTGTACCTGTGCATATGCAGAATGAGAAGTGTATTTTCATATGTGGAAACCATGATACGTCAACGATGTGTCTTCAGGTGTCAGGGAAGGGGATACAGATTTGTGGCTGACAGACGCATCAGAAAACATCCTTCACAGACTAAACTAACCAGGACTAAGACAGAACGAGAGGGGGCGCAGTGACGGGGTTTTCTAGAAAAAAGGCGGCCAGTCTCACCTGCGGCGGCCAGGTGGGCGGTGACCTCGTCTGCGCCGGTGGACGTGAGAATGTCGGAGTCGTCGTAGGAGGTGTCCTCGGGGGAGGAGGGCGAGTCCTCGTCGGCGCTCATCATGCTGTGCTCGGTGTAGGTGGTGACGTGCACCTGCTGCACCTGCTGGGCCACGGCGTGGGCCTCGATAGTGGTCATGTGCTCCGCCTGGTTCACTCCGTGATCCTCCATCGCCCGTCGTCAACTCTAAACACGCTGCAACACACAAGGGCGCCTCGTGAGCCACTGGGTTTCCACGACGGTATTCGTTTTCTAGTCTGCTGTCAGGAGGCGTGACAAATAAACTACGGTCAAGCCAGGAACTGAGCAAGGCGAGATGAACAGCTGAAAGACCCTATAAGGCAGCCACAGGAGGTGTTGGAGGAAAAAAGGATCCACAACAATCCAAAGAGCCGGGTGACCTCCCAGCAAACTAAGTTATTTGTGAAGTTCGAGTAGATAGCTGTCAAGCATGTATAGGCTGAAAAGGACCAGGTAAAGGTTTATTCCATGCTGAAAGGAAAACAAAAGTGCCAACATTTCGGCTGTGAAGAAGAGCTGAAACGTTGTCTCTCTTTCTTTCCCTTTAAATATGGAATAAACGTTTACCTGTTCCTCAGTTATCTCTGTCCTTTCTCCATCAGCATCATAAACCTGATGAAGCCCGTACTGAACTCCCCTCACAATTCACTTATCTCGGGAGGAAGGCAGAAAGAGATAAAGAAAGAGCTAGCAGGCATTCACAAAGAAAATTAAAAAAAAAAGAAAAATCAACCTTAATTTATCTTGTTGATAACTTGATAACTTGTTGCAGTCAAAGTCAGTGTTGTCTGGCTGGGGGTATGATAGTATTGAACACTTTGAATACTTGTATTAGCTCCCTTCCTAGACTT